AGTGTGTGTGTGTACTAGCTGTGTGCTTTCTCGTGGACATACTGCATTGCAACTGCCAAGTAGAGCTTTATCCCAGAGGAGAAGAAGTCTGGGTATTGCTATATGCATAATCGTATATCGTATATATATTTCAAGAGACCCACGAACAAAAAATATGTGCTCCTCTATACATATTTAGCTGATGTGATGATTTCAGAATATTTAAATATGAGTCATTAATTTTATTTCATATCTTTTTATTAAAAAAACATTCAAAGTGCATACTCATAGCCAACTGATAACATACTTCAAAAGCGGACTTACGTGTGCAACCTACATAAGTTGGGCAGCTGGCCCTCTACTACAAGAGTAATCAGTGTAAACACAACAGCGGTAGGGAGCTCATGCACGAGGATAGCACAATACCGCTTGCTGTTGTGTACTACCTACGAGAAAGTGCATTGCATCACTTGCACGAATCAGGTTATTTGTTGGAATCAATTAGAACTCAAGCGTTGTACCGAGTTTTCTCATTAGCGTGATAAGTTTTCTTATAAGCGAGATAGTCTCCATCGGGTGTCTTCAACACCTTTTATTTTGACAGGCAGCTCATCGATAAAGAGTAAGTGTTGTGTGCGTATTCCGGTCCATACCGTCCGACTAAATTTTCCCTTGTAATCTCAGTAATTTAGTTCCCTTGTACATTGTGACTACTGCCCGCGCAAGGGTTGGAGTCATCTCTTTTACTATGGCATGTACGTCTGTCTCTGTATTACCAGCGTAACACATATTGTACGACGTCATATTTTTGACAGCTGTCGATATTTGTGTGCCTATTGAATAGTATGTCCGAATAGGACTGTTCTTAGCCAACATGTGTAGTCGGCGACCTGCAATAAACCTGAATGCATGTGAGCGTATGAAGAAACATTGAAGAGTGGTACAGACGACTAACTTATCAGAATTCTACGCAAGCAGTCCCTGCACATGCACGAAACCACACCCAACGCAATGGTGTAGGCATAGATCAGTACGCATACAAACCGGATACCGAACCAAGCATATATGTACAAACACACACACATATATATAATACATATTCATGCCTCAAAATACATTTTAGGATAACACTGTTGTGAAATTATGCTGCAGAAATCGACACTCATCATGGACAGCACAAAGCGCACTCGAGAGCTGGTTTTCGATGCAGTCGCTGCGGATGAGGCGATGTCTCGACTTGAGGAATATGATTGCGACACAATCGTGAGTCTGCTACCTCGCATGCAGAAACTAGCGGCGGAGAAAATAAGTGACCAATTGAGGAGATCTGCCGCCACAGAGCCCCTCTACTTGAATGGTATGAGTATTCCGTCAGAGATTATGCTGCACGTGTTTAAGCTGCTGGACCTTGAGTCTCTCATGGAGTGTCGACTGGTCTGCAGATTATTCCACTCTCTGGTGCGCGACTCGCGGTTGTGGACCTCGTTACCTCGAGCGACCTATATAGGTGGCGGGCGATTGGCTAAAAGAGGCATTGACTTGTTCGAAACGATTGAGGTGAGTCACTGTTTCTGACATTGAATTATACGGGCAATTGCTTGTTCCAGCTCTCGTATATGTATCGTACAGAATGCACGCGCTTACCACACATTGCACAAAGCGGCTATTCCATTACGGATGCTGATCGATTCTGCATATGCGAGATAACTCCACGTACATTCACCCTAATGCCTATATTTCAGTTCGTTAGCCGCTATCCAAAGCTGCGTGACTGGACTGTACCAAGTGGTCTCGACTTCGGCAGAGTACCAGTCGATGCAATGGACGCTCTCGCGTTGGCAGTACCAGATACGCAACGATGGCATTCGTTCAATAATCAAACACTCACCCGAGAACACGTGGCAAGACTTTTAATTGGTTGGCCTTACCTTCGATCTTTGTCAGTAGTGTCAGCAGCGCTCCCGGTAGATCTTGCGTCTCTGACCCACCTCTCTGTTCGTGCTTATGACATGTTTGATGGGCGCTTACCTGTAATCCAGTCGAAAAGCTTGCGGCATTTGGACTACTTCGGTGTTGGTATACACGGCACCATTAACAATCTTCTTAACAAGTGTCCTAATTTAGAAACACTTTCAAGCGCATTAACTCTTGATGAAGCTCTCGTCAGCGATGGTCTCCGGTCATTGAAAGTTTATTTCGTGCGTGTCAATGATGCCATATCAGCCTGTTCCGCACTAACTGATTTCGAATACGACGTCATTCCTGACGATGAGCCCGAGGGCAATTGGAGTGAGACGGTCAAGAATTTGAGGGGGGGGTCTCAGGATTCCGCAACAGAAATAGATTTGCAATTATTCCCCAGCCTAGAGAGCTTCTTTATTACGGACTTTAAAGACCCAATCTACTCGAACTCTCTCCGAAGGTTGGATATTGGCATTTTCTATCTACCGTACGGATGCATCCTAAGCAAATTGGAGTGGCTCTCTGTGAAAGATAGTGAAACTGATGACGAACGTGATACACCTAACGATAAGCTTTTGCTCAAGTATGACAAGTGCCATTGGCCACGAGGACTGAAGACGCTACGAATTCAGCTGAGGGACAAAATGCACGGCTCCAGGCTATGCACTGAATTTGTGAAGGAAGTCATCGCTGATCTCCCTGAGCTGAGGGAGCTAAGTGTCAATGCAGTCCTTGATACGAATGTATATTCACCTGTCTTGACCGAGTTAGCAGTGGATGGTTTCCAAGACTGGCCAAATATAGTTCGAACTGTCCGAGGGAGTGGCAATCTCAGAGTACTTAAGCTAGGCATCGGCCAGAGCAAAACGGGATTGTCTAATGCATTTTGGGATGATATGAGCCTTTCAATAGATCTCGCCAAGGTGAAGATCATGGTACCTCTCGCTTTGCGAACAAAAATGCCGCCGGCATTTAAAAGAATGTTGCTAAAGGGTAAGGTTGCTTATTTTGACCGTTCAAAAACCAGCTCCTATGGGCATTATAATGAATATTTTCTTTGGCCGCAACACGACTAAGGCTATGAGTACTATGCGCTAGATTAAATTGCCGGAAAGCTACTTTTGACTTGTAAGTCTTTTACTATAACTTTCTGGCTGAGTGAGTATTTCTATCATATCTCTATTTGGCTTTGAGGGACCCCAAAGTGACATCAACACCCATATTCTTATCTCTCCTTTCCATGACTTGCGCTTTTTCGGCCAGTTTCTTCTCGTGATTCCTATACATCCGTTCCAGTTGCGACTTGGATGTTCTCTGAAAGTTTTAGGGTTTGGATTGTTGTATCATAGGGTTAATGAAGTAGTCTGTCGTCTGAAATGAATTAAATGGTCAATTGTTCTGATGTGATGTTTATGAGCGGATGTAGACGAATAAATAGCCTACGACACTCAGTCCCTGGCGATTTTACGCAAACAAAAAAGACTTTTATTCAAGAACGTAAACTACTCGATGTGCTAGCCAGTTGATAGGCTGAATTAGACAGTGAACCCACATAACACCATGAAAAATATATGTAAAATCAAAACTGGTTCGATAGGACTATCATAGATGTATCACTAAACACGACGTGAGCAAGCAAACGGGCTATCCGAAAGTTCCACATGGGCGGAATTGCCAAATATATACACAGGACGTCATAGACAGCTACCGAAGTGATGATCTCTGCGGCGCGTCCCCTCGTGAGAGTGTGCAGTGCCATTCGATGCGCATTCCGCCCGAGCAGTTGTCTGACAAACTTGATTTGTCCAGGACTCGCAGGGCCCTGAAACAAACCATTGTACGGGTTGAGCAAAGATTAACAGGTCGGCCATGCTTGGACTTTTGTAAGGTAGTATTGACTTGGTGTAAAAGGCTTGCTTTGATTAGAGATAAATGCCATGACTCGGGCATATGTAGACAAACTTGATTTGTCCAGACTTCGTTGGTCCCTAAACGGACGCTTGAGAATATAGCAAACTCCGACTAGAAAAAAGTTGCATGCTTTATTCAAAAAGCCCAAAAATTAGCAAGCGATAATTAGCTTATTTTCAGGAAAATTAACTAGTATGCCAGAGAATAAGTTAATCGGCTAACTAACGGCAGGCTCTACCCAATGTTAATTTATGTGTGATGAGAATTTCAGGCAGGCGTGCAGCATATATAAGTACATGTCACCAGTAAGCGATAAGATACACTGTACACCGATAATACGTGACCTTGTTTCAATTGAAATTGCCACTGGATACTACAGCGTCGTGCATTCGAGTGTGAGAGAGAATATTTCCCGGTATACTATCGAAAATAAACCAGCACACATTTACGTATATGTGTGCCACACCCGAGGGTACTTACCTTAATTCGTGCAAACAACAAACTTACACGGTAAGAACTCTGCGAAACAGTAAGTACGGTCTTGTCTAATTGTATCAAGTGAAACATATTCCCAATGAGAAGGCATGTTGGTTACAAATAGTCTGCTACGAAGCGAAAACTGAAAAATAACGTCGAGCACAGAACACTGACATACGAGACATGGTTGATACAGATGCATTGTCTCAGGCTCTCGTTTGAAAATACAGCGAGTTATATATGGCAGTCGTCATACACGGTACAGGTTACTTTCATATAATTGCATTTACCCGCATCCACCCGACGTTCTTTCCTAATAAGGGCAGCATATTCCCAAACATAGTCTTGATGAACGAGTCTGTAGCAGCGAATGCGGAGGCCAAAGTATCCGACTCTAAGGGCAGTCTGTCCACAAGTTGATATTCATGCCCCTTCACCTTCTTCAGCACTAGCTCGGCATGATATCTACCTGCTCACTCACAGAGAGAGATGCGCATAGATACAATTACGTTAGAAAACATTGGCACAGAGATAGACACACATATGCTTATACAAATAGAGAAATAGACAGACGTCAACGATACGGCACACATAAATATAAATATCAATAGGGTGTGATAACAAGCAGATTTAGGCACTAACTGGACGTGTTTGAAGAAGTAAGTGTGAAGCCGGTTACAAACGATAATATATTAGCTCCTTCGAGGCAATATCCTAGATAAACATTCGTTTACTTTAAGTCCCTGATCGACATAAACTTAGGCTGACAGTAAGATGGACACTTGCTAGTCCTGCTCTCCGTCTAAATACTTCCCAAAATAGGTGACAATTTAGACATACAATACGTCTGTGATGTCACAGTAATCAACTTAATTCATCAATTCATACTGGGACTTGACCATACCTGTCGCATCTTTCATCAAATGTATTGTACCCAGATGCGGCATAGTCAGGTTGTATCCATTGCCATGTTTCTGCATGGATGGGGAAGATTTTGGTTTTTTAAGTGCTGCCTTGGTAACAAAAGTCATGATTGTAGCGTTTGAGTATAACTGTCGATGATCGTAATGTTTGTGCACGAATTCGTATGTCATACAGACATCCGCAGCGGCAAATATGGGTGGTGTTAAGTGCTTGACATATATTGATGACACTTTACTGACACCGAGTGAATATGTCCTCAACGTGTCATCAATATGTCTCCATCAACATCGTTGAATATGTTCATGGCCATCTTGCAGCCATATTTTCCATACTTCTATTTTTTTCTCGAAGGACATGGTATGTTGACGGATTTTTGACGTTACTTTTCTCTCACATACCTGCCATGCCAGGTCGGATGTTTCCTGTATACTATGAACCGTGCCCATATCGCGAGTGAACGTTGACGTGAGGTGTGTTTCCAACTCCTTCTTCTTCACTGTTAAGTCAATTAAATCAACTCAATAGTAAGCAGTTGCGTATGATCATCCTACGTAGGTATGCATAACAAGTGTGAGAGCATATTTTTGTACGTGATGTGAATAAACGCATCTCAATCGTAAGCAGTTGTACTGTATTAGATCAACTTCCATACATAAAAACATAGATTTGAGTGAGTTTACGCAGTATTGTACGTGTTTGTGTAATTTCATATTTCAGGTTTCAACTGAATAAGTATATGTGCGAGAACAAACAATTTTCGTATGCATATCTGCGCATGTATATATTAATTTCGACTGTCAGCAATATACATACGTATCTCTTTAATGTGTTATACATATCCAATAGAGAATAAAATTATACACATATTACATAAGCGTCGTAAATACACATGCATTCCTTATCATGCACATATACGTAAACGTTGTCATACATTTTCGAACCAACACAACACACCACATGTAAAATTGGATAGACATGTTTGACGTAAGGATTCACTGCCCGTGTGTATGCTACGTACCTTTTATTACAATACTTCCAACTTAAAGTATATAGATATCATCGTGTACACAATTTGATGAATGAAAAGAAACACAGATACGCGTCCAT